TCCAGCCGCAGCCAATCCTTCAGAGAATTATAGCCCCGGCAAACATCCTCACTGCAATCTGATGAGAGAGTTGCTTTCACATTCCTGACCCTCAAAGACTGTGGGATAATGAATATTTATTGTTTTGAGCTGCTAACTTTTGGGGATAATTTGTTATATGGCAATAGATAACTAATACAGCAAGTTACTTGACTTCTTTAAGTCTCAGTTCCCCCTCTGTAAAATGGATATAATAATAGAGACCACTGCATAGGGCTGTTGCCAGGGATATATGAAGCAGTGGTGTATATAAAGTGCTTGGAGGAGTGGAACATAGTTGTCACCCTCAGACATTATCTGCCATGGTGGTTATTGCTTAGTTGATTCTTTTTTTTGTTTGTTTTAAAAGAAGACTGGTAAGGAGATCTTAACCCCTGACTTGGTGTTGTCAGCACCACGCTCTCCCAAGTGAGCTAACCGGCCATCCCTATATAGGGATCTGAACCCGTGGCCTTGGTGTCATCAGCACCACACTCTCCCAAGTGAGCCACGGGCCAGCCCTGCTCAGTTGATTCTAAAAAGTGCTCTGCTGATCTACCGTGGTCCTATTTCCTTGAGTTCCTCATGTCGAAATACATTTCCCCAAAGAATGTCAGTTTAAGAAGCAAGTCTTTCCCAAAACAGTTTAATCTTGAAATAATTTTTCAACAAATAGTTCCAGGTCAACTGGATACTCACATGCAAAAGAATGAAATTGAACCCTTACCTCACATGATATATAAAAATTAACTCAAAATGAAGCAAAGGGCCACCCCCGTGGCTCACTCGGGAGAGCGTGGTGCTGGGAGCGCCGAGGCCGCGGGTTCGGATCCTATATAGGGATGGCTGGTGCGCTTGCTGGCTGAGCGTGGTTTGGGCAACACCAAGCCAAGGGGTTATGATCCCCTTACCGGTCACACACAAAAAAAATGAAGCAAAGACCTAAGCATAAGAGCTAAAACTATAAAACTGTTAGAAGAAAACATAAAATTTTGTGACCTTAGTTAGGCAATGATTTCTTAAATACTACACCAAAAGCATAAGCAATCGAAGGAAAAATAGATAAATTGGACCTCACTGAAATTAAAAACTTTTGGGGCCGGCCCGTGGCTCACTTGGGAGAGTGTGGTGCTGATGACACCAAGGCCACGGGTTCAGATCCCTATATAGGGATGGCCGGTTAGCTCACTTGGGAGAGCGTGGTGCTGACAACACCAAGTCAAGGGTTAAGATCCCCTTACCTGTCATCTTTTTAAAAAAAGAAAGAAAGAAAGAAAGAAATTAAAGACTTTTGTGATTTAAAGGACACCATCAAGAAAGTGAAAAGGTAACCCACAGAATAGGAGGAAACATTTTAAAATCATATATCTGATGAGGCTCTCTATAAAAAACCTCTTAAAATCAAATAATAAAAAGTTAAATAACTCAATTTAAAAATGGGCAAATGATTTGAATAGATATTTCTCTAAAGCAGATATACTTTGGAATGGCCAATAGGCACATGAAATTGTTCAAAATCATTCATCATTAGAGAAATGCAAATCAAAACCACAATGAGATATCACTTCATGCCATGTAGGGCGGCTATAATAAAAACACAGGTAATTACAAGTGTTGACAAGGATGTGGATAAATTGGAATGCTCACACAGTGCTGGTGGGAATGTAGAATGGTGCAGCCACCTTGGAAAACAGACTAGCAGTTTCTCAAAAGGTTAAACATAGAGTTACCATATCATCCAGTAATTCCACTCTTAGGTATACTCATATACCCAAAAGAATTGAAAACATACATTCACCCAAAAGCTTGTACATAAATGTTCATAGCAGTATTATTCATAATAGTAAAAAAATGGAAACAACCTAAATGTCCATAAACTGATTAACAAATAAAATGCAGCATATCTATACAATGTAATATTATTCAGCCATAAAAAGTAATTGAAGTACTAATACATGCTACAATATAGATGAACCTTGAAAACCTATGCTAAGTGAAAGAAACTAGTCACAAAAGACCACATATTTTGTTTCTATTTATATAAAATGCCCAATATAGGCAAGCCCATAGAGATAGAAAGTAGATTAGTGGTTGTCCATGGGTAAGGAGGTTTGGGGGAAATGCATGGTGACTGCTAATGTGTGTGGGGTATATCTTTGGGGCAATGAAAATGTTCTGGAATTAGATAGCGGTGTGATAGATGGACAACTCTGTGAATATACTAAAAACCGTTGAATTGTACACTTTAGAAAGGTTTGCTTTTAGGTAGATCGATTATATCTCAGTAAAGCTATTGCCAAAACAATGAATGGTAAGTTTTTAGAAAGAGTGTGAAAAATTAAATGAGTGAGGGTTTTTAGGGTTTTTTAGACACATACACAATCACACACATACATGCACACATACGCATTTACAGTAATTTTAAAGGAGCACAAAGGCAATTATGTGGTACTTTTGAAACCATAATAGCTGTCTATGATTCTAATTGGAAGAAAGGGTGAGGGAGATACCAGAGCTTTTAATGGGAAAATCTAAGAGCTCAATTAATTTCCGTATGACTTTGTCAAGAGGCAATCATTTGCTAAATACTTTATATGGTTAATTCACAGGACTACTAGGTGAAGTAACATTGTTATTGCCATATTACAGATGAGGCTCAGAGAGTGTAGGTAACGTGCCTGGGATTACATGTTTTATAAATGGCAGAGTTGGGATTCAAACCCAGTCTGTATGTCTCTCCAAATCCTGTGCTCTGTTCACTTCTCCAGGCTGCCTGACAAAAATGAATAAAAGGCAGGTAACACTGCCCTGTCCCCAAAACTTTGAAATTGTCCTCTGGTTCAGCCTTCATTTATCTCATATCATCCCATCTCTAGTCCCACCCTCTGCATCTAACTTTTTCTACCATCTTCACCCTTTGCTCTGGCCGGAAAGGTCTCCCTGCTCTCCCCAGAACACCTCAAAATCTGTAATTAAAGATAGATCAAGGAGGGATGCACTTTGTAAACCACACACTTTATAAATTCTACTCAAATGTAAACTAGTATCCTGCCTTTTTCTTTCTCTAGAAATGCCTCTTTTTCTTGGCACATCCTAAGCCTTAGGGTCTTTTGAGGTTAACTCTGGGAGCCTCCAGACTGCAGGGTAAGTAGGGGATTTTTCTTTCTGAATTCTTGGGACACTAATCACAAAATCAGTACCATGTCATCACCTGGTCAGACCCACACTGTGTAAGCTCCTTTGTTTATGTCCTGGTCAAGCACCTGTTTGGCCCTCTGAGCAGGAAATAGTAATTGTTTTACTTGGGCTTAAGCCCTCGACCTCTCTTAGCCTCAATTTCTTCATCTGCAAAATGAGAATGATGGAAGTTACGTTGGTCCTACTTATGACTCTCCAATCCTACCATGGGCGTGTTGTGGGCAGAGGCAGTGCTGCCTAGCATTCAATTTCTTCATCTGCAAAATGAGAATGATGGAAGTTACGTTGGTCCTACTTATGACTCTCTTTCCAATCCTACCATGGGCGTGTTGTGGGCAGAGGCAGTGCTGCCTAGCATAGCGGTTCTCAGAGTTGGTCTGGAGAGCCCCCGAGGGTCTGTGAGGTCCCTCCTTTTCCAACTCCATACTTGTGTGAAGCTGAGTTTTCTTCATACACTTGAATCAAAACAATACATCACAACAGATTGAATGCAGGCAACATGAGAATCCAGCTGTCTTCTATTAAGCCAGATATTAAAGTGTTCGCAAAAATGTGAAACAATGCCACTAATTTTTCTCACTAATTTTTTTGTTTTGGAAAATGTAATAATTTTAAAAACAAAAAATATATTATCATGTCAACATGTACTGGGTTATTATTTTATGAATTAATGAACATTTAAAAATGTCTTTTAATTTCTAATACATTAGAAATTAATCATTACAGACAGTAATGATCAAATAGATATAATACACACAAACAAAAGCTCTTTGGGATCCTCAGTAAGTTTTTATAATATAAGGAGTTTTTTATAATATAAAGTTTTTATACTATTAAAAAGTTTGAGAACTCCTAGGGGAAAGAACAGCGTTCCAGATCTGGAGTGTCAGGTATCCTGTGGTCTTAACCCTCCCCCGTGCTTCAGTTTATCTCTAATACAACACTCATCCTTGTGACGTTGGTGGCTAACGGTCTCTTCTTCTTCCTAAAATTTATATGTCGCTTTATGTGTGTATACAGGGACGGTCTCTGGAAGGATACACAATAAAATGGTATCAGTGGTTGCACATAAGAAAGGGAATTAGGAAACTAGGGCAAAAGTGGCTCCATAATCCTTTCTGCTCTGTTTGATTTTTTTAATACATCTTACATACATTGCCTGTATTTAATAATAATTAATGGACAGGAATGGATAGGAAACTGAAGTCGGCTCATGTAAAAGTAGTGTTGACTGATAAAAACAACAATAATAGGAAAGCTTCCCTCATCTGCCTTCGCCCGGCTCCTCTCCCGCCCGCGGGGGATTAAGCCCCGCCCCTAGCCCCGCCCACGTACACGTCACCTCCGGCCGACCCGCTTCTCTGGACTCCCTCTGGCTCCCGCCTTCGCCCGCTTCCCGTCGTCGTCGTCGTCGCCGCTGCTGCCGCTGCTGCTGCTGCTGCTGAGGCTGCTGGCAGAGGCCGGAGGATCGGGCGGCGGCGGCGGCGGCGGCGGCGGCGGCGGCGGCGGCGGCGGCGGCGGCGGCGGCGGCGGCGGCGGCGGCGGCGGCGGCGGCGGCGGCGGCGGCGGCGGCGGCGGCGGCGGCGGCGGCGGCGGCGGCGGCGGCGGCGGCGGCGGCGGCGGCGGCGGCGGCGGCGGCGGCGGCGGCGGCGGCGGCGGCGGCGGCGGCGGCGGCGGCGGCGGCGGCGGCGGCGGCTGAGAGGGCGGCGGCGGGAGCAGAGCGGGACAAGGGAGCGAGAGGAAGCGAGCAAGGAGCGAGCGGAGAGCACCCTTCACCGCCCCCCGCCTTCCCGCCGGACAAAGCCGAGCCCGCGCCCAGAGCCATGTCCTCGTCCGCCGGCAGCGGACACCAGCCCAGCCAGAGCCGCGCCATCCCCACCCGCACCGTGCCCATCAGCGACGCCGCGCAGCTACCTCATGACTATTGCACCACGCCCGGGGGGACGCTCTTCTCCACCACGCCGGGAGGTGAGCGCGGGCCACCCGTCCGCCGGGTCACGGTCTCCCGCCTGGGTCCTCTCTAATTACTTCTCGGAGTGTCCGCGCGGAGCCGCCTCGCCCCCCACCCCCATCTCTACCCAAGCCCTCGGGACAGTGCCTTCGAGCCGCGCCCGCCCTTTCGGGACCCTTCACTTCGCGCTCTCTCTTTCTTGCAACTCAGTCCGCGCGCGCCCACTCGGGAATGTGACGCTCCGGTCGCGAAAAGAAAGCCGTCGTTGCCGCTTAGTGGCAGGTTTGCTCACTCGACCCAGTTTCTCTCCCCTCCGCCTCCTTGCCAGGCAGACTCGTCTACGCTGGGCTTGCATTGCACTCTGCATTACTGTTACCTTTTGCAGATTGTGCATTTGTGCACATGAGTGCATTATTTGGGAGCTGTCTTCCGGGCATTTTTAAAAAGGAAGTTGGGGAGAGGAATTCTGTCCTGGGGCCCTGTGGTGACTTGTTTTGCTGCTTTTAGAACACCAGGAGGAGGCTGGAATGCGGAGTCTGGAAGCCTCGCCCAGCGTTATCCTGCTTTGACAGCATTGTTTACTCTGCTGGACGAGGCCCCACGGGTGGGGAGAGGCCCCAGGCCAGGAGGAGAGAGTGATAAAATAATTTTCAAGTAATAGCCAAGGGAAAGGAGGTGGGGGTGGGAGAGAGCTGGCAGCCTTAAGGGCAGGGTTTTGGCGGCGAAATCTTTGGAAATGGCTTGAAGGGAGCATTGTCGAGGAGGACACCCTAGTCGGGTAGGGCTGCTTGATTCTGGGAAACGGGCTTATAGAGAGAGGTGGTGCAGAGGGGGGTTTCCTGGGCATTGCTTTTCAAAGTACGACCAGGAACTGTTTACAAGTAACACTGGAGTAGAGGTGTTGAACTGTCACGGGAAAAGGAGCTCAAAGGTTGTCTGTGCCCTCACTGAGCTGTTCTCCAGAGGGAGGATACTGGAAAGCAATTCTGAGGGGCCTTTATTAAAGGGCTTCCTTTTTTAACTTCAGAACTTTGCCTTCTTTTGGTGGTGGGATGGCCTCTCGCTAGAGGGTGGGGACTTTGCTGGCAGCCCCTGCAGGATTGCCTCGTTCCTGTGGGCAGGACTCACCAGTTGTACTGCAACCAATCCGGTGCAGTTAGGCTTGGGCCATCCTTGAATCGGTTGCACAATAGCAAGGCCTGTAGAGTAAAGAGACCTCTTTGCCAACTCCATGGGATAAAAATCTGGGAGAGAGCTTTACAGAGGAATCCAGCCAGGCCATTATAGGGGAGGGCTGTCTGCCTTGGAATGCCTGGATATGTATGGAGAGCTGGGTTTAAGGAAGAGTTAACTTTGCAGAACACTGGAGTTCCTAGTAGGGTGGCTTACCTCACTGAAGAAACCTCCCTCCTGATCTCATCTGTTCAAGACCAGCCTCTGTGTTTGAGCGTGCTGAGGTCTTACTTTTTATTTTATTTTTATTATTTTTTTTTGGCGGCTGTCTGGTATGGGGATCCAAACCCTTGACCTTGATGTTATAGCACCATGATCTAACCAACTGAGCTAACCAGCCAGTCCAGATCTTGCTTTTTAATTGTGAAAGATTTTGGCAGACCAAAACCTGCTCCAGATAGAGTTGTCTTGAACTGATAGCTTTTAAGAAATGATATTGTTTTCCAAGGTGATGGAAAGGGATTTATAACTTCTTCCCGAATTCCTTGTGGTATTGGTCAGTAAATGCCTGTGCTTCCAGCAGTTCAGAATGCATGTCACAGTAACAACTGCACTCAGCTATAATTTATTTGGGTAAGGAACTAAACTTTCAGCTATATATTATGTTATGCCCCTGAAGGAAGAGCCATAGGAGGACATCCTTTTGGCATATTTCAAACAGCCAAACTACCACACTTTAAAAATAAGGGCATAGTCTTTAAGTATTGCTTTAAAGATAGAGGTCTCTCCCATAGCCTGGATTAGTTCCTAAAATGCTTGGAAAGATTCTGCCAGAAATACTGATTCATTTACCCCTCCTCCCAACACACAATCACCACTGCTTTCTCAAGTATCACTTCACCTGCCTCCAGATAGTTTCTACACACAGTTTTTTTTGTTTCAGATTTAAATACTTGTCATCGTGGCTCATCTGTAATATTGAGCCTATATTTATTGGTAGAGCCCATCATAATCTTAGGATTTTTAACATATTACTTAATAGAAACATATTAGTTAATATATTTATAAGGATATATAGCTCTGTTGCAGTTAGATTTAATCATTATTTTTTAGCAATTACCTCAGTGCTGTTTAGATGTTCAGTACTTATTGATTTAATTTCCCCTCTGATGGTTTGTTTCTCTTGTACATTCATCTCCGTCTCACCATGTACTTTTATTTCCCTGAATCAGACTGAGATAGTTTGTTGTCCTTTGGTCACCTCCAGACACCTAAACTAATGTGGTTAAGTATCATTGGTGAGTTTTGTGGGCCCAATGCAGCTCAGCCAGTGAGCAGGAACTGGTCTGTATGTGGGATCCGAACCCTCGGCGGGAGCGCCGCCACACTCCCAAGTGGCGCATTGTAGCAGTGCGCCACCGGGCCGGCCCTCACCATGTACTTTTATTTCCCTGAATCAGACTGAGATAGTTTATTGTCCTTTGGTCACCTCCAGACACCTAAACTAATGTGGTTAAGTATCATTGGTGAGTTTTGTGGGCCCAATGCAGTGCTTTGCATAAAAGGGGACAACAGACAAAAGTAGGAAATGTCTTTGTTCTGAACAGGCTTAAAATCTTTATTTGGGGGAAAGGGGGTCACATAAGATTTTTAGTTCTGGAATAGTATAGAGTCAAGTGCTAACATATATTTTAGACTTGAAAACATTTAGAAAAATAACAATCAGTAGGCTTGTATCGGAAATCTCTATTTAGTGGGAAGGGAGAGAATTAGCATTTCTTGCCTCAAACTTCTGGAAACCTTCTGGAGTATCACATGCGTATCAGAGCATTCCAGGATAACAGTTGATGAGCTGAATGTCCTGGGCAGGGACATTCACAACATTGTGAACTTACGATTTTTTCCCCCCTTGAAAGTCCTTTATTCATTAAGAATACAGACTACCCTGGAGGTTTCTCAAAATTGCCTTTCTGTAGTTTGGGAAATGAGAGATGGGTGAAAACACACTTGCTGTAACCTCTTGGAATTCAGTATTGCTAGAAGAGTACCTTTTTCTCATTATTGAGGAAGAGGAAAAGTTTTGTTGAGTAAATTCCAGGCAAAAAAAAAATACCCTTGGGTTTTATTTTGTCCTATCTACCTATGGAGGAGTGGCGATGATATTTAGTTCTTACATTGGGAAGCTACTTCTATCCTTGGTGGAAGGTAAAGTTACTGTAGTTGGCTTCACTTTTATAACACTCTGGTTAGTTCAAAGAGACCTAATGCTTTCATTTTATAGTTGAGAGAAACTGAGACCCAAAGAAATTAAGTACAGTCAGCCCTCCATATCCCTGGGTTTTGACATCTGTGGATTCAACCAAATGCAGATTGAAAATATTCAGGGGGAGGGTCGACCCGTGGCTCACTTGGGAGAGTGTGGTGCTGATAACACCAAGGCCACGGGTTCGGATCCCTATATAGGGATGGCCGGTTAGCCACTTGGGGGAGAGCATGGTGCTGACAATGCCAAGTCAAGGGTTAAGATCCCCTTACCAGTAATCTTTAAAAAAAAAAAAAAAGAAAGAAAAAATATTCAAGGGGGGAAATTCCACAAAGTTCCCAAAGCAAAACTTATTTATTTATTTTTTTATTGGAGCATAGTTTATTGTACATATCTGTAGGGTACAGCATTGAATGTCAGTACCTGTGTGCAATATGTGATGTTCAATCCACAAAGCAAAACTTGAATTTGGGGCCGGCCCGGTGGCACACTGCTATAGTGCGCCGCTTGGGAAGCGCGGCGGTGCTCCCGCTCGAGGGTTCAGATCCCACA